TTTTGCCCCCCCCCCCCCCCTCCACTCCCCTCCACTCCCCTCCCCGTCCCCTCCCTTCGCTAGCACTACTAGCATTCTGGACGTGAAGTCATGCGTTTAGCAGTCACAGCAATACGACGCTGGCCATGAGGTTGCGTAATACAGCACGAACCCTGCACAATGAGGTTGTGCAATGCGGCTTCGATGCCGCACGTGCGCACCCGGCAGCTTGACACAGCGCGTATTGCGTTCACAGACCATATTGCTCGAGACCAACGAACATCGACGCAGCACAGCCTTTCTACAAAGCCCTGTGGAGAAACCTCTCGCTTCGCGGAGCACCATTCGACTCAACTTTATACCCGAGCGTGGCGACATCTTACCGCATCGTGGAGCACCACTATACAACTATTTACGCACCCTTGCCATTAGCCACCCACTATAACGCGACGTCCATCTTTGGCAATACCGGTCGCACCCTGCAGCACTAACCTTACAAGGGGTTGGTCATTGCCGCTTCGACGCAACGCGTGTAGGCCTGTGTCTTGACACAGTGTGCGTAGCTGGGGATCATAGCTGGTACGCATGCGAGCGTCTACGCATTGCGATTTTTACGCGCGCCCGAGCTCGACGCAACGGAGTGTGTCTGTAGAGCCGTGTGGCGTAATCTGATCGCAACGGTATTCTTTTTGAGCCTTGTGTTTTCTGGCTTTATTGGCTTTATCCAAGGTTGACTAAAGGAAACATTTTTGAAACACCGGAAATAGTCTCGTATTAGATAAGATCCTAACAATTATCCGTTCCGTTTCTACTTTTTGTATGTCTCCGCTTAAATTTATATAAATTATGTAATATATTTGATAAGATATTTAGTATATTATTTATGTTATTTTATATTTTTGAAATGTATAATTTTTTAATTAATATAATATAGTATATTTAAATATATATATTTTAGTTATATATTATATATATAATATGGATTATATTTAAAAAGTAAAAGAAACGCGTTTTTAATAAATTGTGATGATATAGATATTTGGTTTTTATAATGAAATAAAAAAAATAGGAAAAAGAAAAAATAAATAAATAATAGAAAAATACAAACAAATAAGAAAAATAATTTAAAAAAAAAAA